TACGACAAAAAATATATTGGAAAAAATAGTCTTTTAAAGACGTCGTAATGACGTCGTCGATACGACAACAAGTATCTTGGAAAAAATAGTATTTTAAAGAGGTCATAATGACGTCGTAATGACGTCGTCAATACGACAAAAATTACATTGGAAAAAATTAGTCTTTTAAAGACGTCATAATGACGTCATTATCACGTCGTCAATACGACAACATTACATTGGAAAAATAAGTCTTTTAAAGTCGTCATAATGACGTCGTTAGCACGTCGTCAATACGACAACATTACATTGGAAAAATAAGTCTTTTAAAGTCGTCATAATGACGTCGTTAGCACGTCGTCAATACGACAACATTACATTGGAAAAATTAGTCTTTTAAAGACGTCATAATGACGTCGTCGATACGACAAAAATTAGCTTGGAAAAAATAGTCTTTTAAAGACGTCATAATGACGTCGTTATCACGTCGTCAATACGACAACATTACATTGGAAAAATAAGTCTTTTATAGTCGTCATAATGACGTCGTTAGCACGTCGTCAATACGACAACATTACATTGGAAAAATTAGTCTTTTAAAGACGTCATAATGACGTCGTCGATACGACAAAAATTAGCTTGGAAAAAATAGTCTTTTAAAGACGTCAAAATGACGTCTTTATGACGTCGTTAATACGACAAAAATTATCTTGGAAAAAAGAGTCTTTTAAAGACGTCATTATGACGTCGTCGAGAAGACAAAAAATATCTTGAAAAAATTAGTCCTTTAAAGACGTCATTATGACGTCGTTATGACGTCGTCAATGCGACAAAAATTATCTTGGAAAAAATAGTCTTTTGAAGACGTCATAATGACGTCATAATTACGTCGTCCATACGACGTACGACGTGTTTACCACTTTACGACCAATTTATGACGTCTTTAAGACGTCAGTCTGCTATCAGGGTAGTACCTACCGTATAGGCCTAGATTTAGGTAACTAGCCTAGATCTAGATCTACTACAGTACTTGATTGTCTAGGGTTAATTGTTGTGTGTATGTATGAGTATGACTATGAGACAGTATAGACCGAAAGCTTCAGTCTCTATAATCGTCGGTTGTTCCACTGAGACTACGTCTGGCTCCACTAGACCTCCGGTTATAGAGACTGAACGACTGCCTATGCCAGCCTGTGTTGAACTTATTCCGCTAGATTTTAGCCGCTAGGCCCCTCCCACAAACTTGCCACGGCCGTATTGTTATGCCCCCAAAATCCCCAAAAGGTCATTTTACCTCGTTCATTTCCAATTTTAAATTAGACCTAGGCTATAATACATCGGTTCCACTTACTAACTTGATTGATATAATCCGTTTAATGGTCCCTTTTAAGGAAATTATCGGTCAAAATCGACATCCATGTTGAAAATCTTGCAAGCCGTGTTAAACTCTCGCTGCCGTCAATCTCATCCCTTCTAGTCTACGCCGAAGGCAAAATGATTATGAAGGAAAAACTGTGATAACGCCATTACGAACGTGTAGATGGCGCACAGTTTTTCCTTCATAATCATTTTGCCTTCGGCGTAGACTAGAAGGGATGAGATTGACGGCAGCGAGAGTTTAACACGGCTTGCAAGATTTTCAACATGGATGTCGATTTTGACCGATAATTTCCTTAAAAGGGACCATTAAACGGATTATATCAATCAAGTTAGTAAGTGGAACCGATGTATTATAGCCTAGGCCTAATTTAAAATTGGAAATGAACGAGGTAAAATGACATTTTGGGGGATTTTGGGGCATAACAATACGGCCGTGGCAAGTTTGTGGGAGGGGCCTATAGCGGCTAAAATCTAGCGGAATAAGTTCAACACAGGCTGGCATAGGCGATCGTTCTGTTCTGTCTCTATAACCGGAGGTCTAGTGGAGCCAGACGTAGTCTCAGTGGAACAACCGACGATTATAGAGACTGAAGCTTTCGGTCTAGAGACAGTAATGACAATTGTTACATGACGAAAACTCGTTGTGAAACCTCCATTTGACTTTCACCACTAGGCACTAGACCCCTAGAGCTGAGATTGTGATAAGCCCGAACATGGCCGAAGTAAACACTAGCGCTGTAATCCACCCCCACCGAGACCTTGATGAGGTGATAGTGAGAGAGAGAGAGAGATAAGCATGATAGAGGGGGAAAGGAAGGGAGAAGGGAGAAAGAGACACATGACATGCAGGGGTTGCTGCCAGAGTTAAAATTGTTGTTACAGTAGATCTAGACCCTATATCGCCAATTATGGGTCATTTTGCTTCGTTTGAACTTTCATTTTGGTCTTCATCTAACTTATTAGTGACTTTTGGACATGAAAATATCTTAAAACAAGTAAAATACTTATTTCCTACTTCTCATTTCCTTTCAGGCAGAGCCCCAGTAAGAGTTTGTTTACACTAGTATTACTACTATTACGTAAGATGATGAAGAGTCCAGCTGCAATCCATTAATATTATCTTAATCTCTCACTCAAGAGCCTCAAGGCTCTGTCCAAGTTTTTAACGAAAGAAACGAAATGGGGTAGAGCATGGACCTACTACTATCACAAGTAGTAGTAGTCTAGTAGGTCCATATGGTAGAGGCACCCCACCAGAAGCTCTCTCAAAGTTTTAAAGCCCAAGTCCACTCCAAAAATAACTTACTTTCAATAGAAGCAGAAAAATCAGACTAATTAACCAATCAAAAAAGTCCGAGCAAAATCGGATAACTAATAAGAAAGTTATGAATTTTTAATGACATTAAAAAACTTTGAAAATCACTAGACGAATTGGCAACTCACTCATGAGTCTGTGACGTCATGTCCTCACTATCCACTAATTATTTTCTTTATATTGATGATATAAATTTCCTATTTTCTCCTTAAGAATCTTACTTCTTCACACCAGCATCCAAGTTAGATTAAAAGTAATATGTTTTTGTGTGGATGCACTAATATCTAGTAATTTTTTCCAGTTAAATTATGAAAAATGTGAATTTTGATAAACTATTTATATAAAAATCAATAATTATGAATATACAATATTCAGAAAATAGTATAAATTCTTCAAAGTTCATAAAAGATTTTGTGAAATGTTATTCACGCAATATGATACAAATCATATAACCTGGGCAAAGGCATGGGGAAATCAAGTTTTGGGGAATAAAAAGGGAAATAAATGGGATTAAACCACATAGAGCAATTGAAAGATAGTGAGGACATGACGTCACAACCTGATAACCAAATTGGCAACTTGTGTAGTGATTATCATAGTTCCATACTTTTACATACTTTTTCAAAATTTATAACTTTCTTATTATTTATAAGATTTTGCTCAATTTTTTTTGATTGGTTTGTCTAATTTTTCTGCTTCTATTGAAAGTAAGTTATTTTTGGAGTGGACTTTTACTTTAACGAGAGAAACAAAAATGGGGTAGCCCATCAGATTACATTGACTGCTGTGTTAAAGTGTGGGGTATAGTTTTAATATATGACGAACGAGAGCTTTTCGTAATGACACGGTCACCTCAGCTTGTCACTGTTTCGTTAATATTAGGCCTAACTATCAGGATATGTTCATAATCTGCGGTGGAAAAGGGAACAGACAGGGGCGGCCGAGCGACTTCCAAAGTAGGGGGGGGCACCAAGAAAAAAGGGCATTGAGGAGAATGGAAAATGGACACTTATTGCAAAGGAAAAAGGAACTTGTTGAAGGAAAAGGGCACGTGTCCAAATAAAAGGGGCACTTATCAGAGTTGAAAAGGGGAAGAGGCACTTTTACAAATTAATAGGGGCATTTGTCAATGTACAAGAGGCACTATTCCTATGTAAAAAGGGTACTTCTTACAAAGTTAAAAGGGGCACTTTTCGGGTGCTTGAAAAAATGGGGGGGGGGGTGGGCACTGTGCCAAAATGTTCCATGCAGCCTGTTTCCCGCTACACCTAACGTTAGGTCAATGCCTCAGAGTCGGAGGCCCATGAAAGTAGAATTGCCATTTGATTTGTCATAAACATTGAAACACATATGGGGGGGGGCACAGTATAGGCTCATGTACATAGGTGCTAGCTTTACCAACATCAGGTAAATTGCCACTTGGTCTGCACCCACCAGATTTTCGTCTGGTTTCATCACCCCACATGGTCTAATCCTAGTTCATCTACTAACCATTTGCTTGGTATAATTGCCACTAAGCCCATTTACCATTTTGTCTAATGTCTAATCTCCAGTTAGGGCTTGTTATGCTATAGTTACTATTGTTTCTCTAGTCTCTCCATACATATTAATTTCACATCATTTGCATATTCATTTCATCCATTCATCTCCACCACATGCATACCAACTCATAAAGCTAGAACAGGTGGTATGTTCTCTTCTCATTTACATATTTCCACTTCTTACTTATCAATGGTTCTCTTCTCATTCATTTCACATCATTTGCATATTCATTTCGTCCATTCATCTCCACCACATGCATACCAACTCATAAAGCTAGAACAGGTGGTATGTTCTCTTCTCATTTACATATTTCAACTTCTTACTTATCAATGGTTTCTCTTCTCCTTTTTCTTATGAATATTCATTTTTATTCATAAATCCTATTTTGCTATTGGTTGATAACATATTTTTCATTTGAATATAATCTGCATGAAGCACATGTACAGCCTCATATAATAAACTCATACAGAGCTGGACTGGACTAACACTGTGTAAGAGGTATTGATTTAGAGTTCTGTTGGCATGATAAGTTAGAGACTTAATAGGAGAGAGGATTTGTGAGTTTGGCAGTGATTTGTATGATTGGTGTTTAATTCAGTGATTTATTGGCAAGAGATTAACTGGTTTTAGACAATGTGAGAATCGATCTGCTAGTAGACCAAGTGGGATACAAACCACAATTCATTTTATTCTCGCCAACTTAATCTGTGAAGCACAACTTTAGTCAATCATGACTCTTCTACAAAAACAATTAAACATGTCTTACTTCTTTCTTAAATTACAGGAATCCCTTCCACCTGACTATGCCTACCACATTTGCAATTATCAAGAGGTTGCGGATGGCAAATATGAGGCAGAATTCAGAATTGACATTTCCAATGAAGATGATGCTAAACTGTGGCTAGAAAAATACCAACAGCTCACCAAAGTGACATTCCGTGTTGGAGCAACAAAGCTAAAAAATGGATGGGTGAATCTGTTCAAGGTTTTTTACCGTTGCCAACACAAGACTCTTCCTCGGTCTGAAACAGCAAGTCAGAAAATGTCGTCAAAGAACACGAATTGTCCAGCGAAGCTAGCTGTGACTGTTAAAAAGATTCCTGGGAAACTAAGCAGGTAAGTTTCAAAAATATAAGTTGGCAACATGATGAAAACAACAAAATCACTATTTAAAAATACAAATTGGCAACTTTTCGTTAAAAATTTGCTATAATCGTTCATGTTGATCTCATGTTATATCCATATTTAATTTTTTCAAAATATGAAAATAAACAAAATTAACGATTGTTGCCAATTTGAGGAGCAAAAGCAGATTAATCTAATAGACCTTATGAAAGCTGTGTACCTCTTTGGGTTGACACAATATGCCCCAAATGGTGGAGTTGGGCCCTTCCTGTATTCCAGTATTCAATTGTTTGGTTCAGTTTGTATTGAATAAAAATGCCAGGGGTTAAAAGTTATTGGTTACATTCGTTCTTCAAGATTATATTTTATTTTATATCTTTCATTGTCAATTTCAGAGCCAAAAGTAAGGATCTTCACTTGCCAGCCTATCAAACTGTTGTCAAGATCTCTCACACCCATAACCACATGAATGATAGTGCCGATACACTGAAGCACAGAGATGTCAGCAAGGAGACGATTGAGAAATTCAAAGACTTGTTCTCTAAAGGCCATTCACCTGCATCAGCTTTGAACACACACAAACTGGATCTGCAACTACAGTATGACCAAGATTATGTGTATGAAGCTGCTGACCGTGCAAACTGTCCAGACACACAATTCTGTCACAGGTGAGAATTCATATTATAGTCTTGCCCCCCCCCCCCCCCAAAAAAAAAGATGTCATTTTTTATGCCCCCACCCATCGTAAGTGGTTGCCGGAGGGATTGTTTTATCGGGTCGTCCATCCGCCCTCCATCCCATTTTCGTTCTTGCGATAACTAAAGAACCGTTTGACTTTATCAACTTAAAACTTGGTCCAAGTATACACATAGGATTGACGATGATCTGATTAGTTTTTGGGGTGATAAGGTCAAAGATCACAGAGGTCATTATATACCTGAAAATATCTCGTTCTCGCGATAACTAAAGAACCATTTAAGGGATCATCTTCAAACTTGGCTCATGCATGTATGGGAGTGACTGTGCATCTGATAAGATTTGGGGGTCACAAGGTCAAAGGTCACACAGGTCAATATTTGAAAATTTAAGAAGTTAGGCGTGTAATATATTTCTGATCTGGCAATGGCGGAGGCATAAATTTTGACTGCGCGCAGTCAAGAATCCATCTAGTTTTAATGGAAATCCATCAAGATACCCTCGATTTTGGACAACAAAACTATGCAGAGACTCATTATTGAGACTAGCTGGTTACAAGCAGTTAATAGATATATCCATGCAAAATGTCTGCTGTGCTGTCTCTACTCTGTTTAAGAGTGTGCTAGGAATTGTTCAAACCTGACTCTTACACTGGTGATACATGTCTGACATAGCAACTCCTATGTTGTACTGTAAACAGTTGAATAGCTCTGGCAAAGCTATTACATAACACCGTTGATTGATAGCTCACTAATGATTGACAGTTGATGTCACTGAAGGCATGAGATCTGGAGGTTTTTTAGGGACGGAGCTGAGCAGGTTGAAAGAATAATTGTTCAAAAATCCATGAAACATGTTTGGATATTTGAATAGCAAATATGAGTTGTATGCTTGCAACTTGCATTTTGGTTGCAGAGGCTTTTGAAAGTCCAATTGCGAGAACCAGGAAGAACATCCTGAAATGCAGAGAACCTCAAATACATGTAGCATCAATTAATATGTGTTCTCTGTAACATATGCAGATAAGATCTTTTGGCATTGTTGAATAAGTTTGATCTCATCATTCACAGGTCAATGGTCAAATTTTTTAATTTAACATATCAATTGGGGAGTTAAGGAATCAAAATATAACTTTAAAAATTGAATCTATGTAGAAAATTTCATGGCATTGCCCATTTAAGATTCATTAAACATAACTGAAGAAATTTGGAATTAATGTGTATTTTCAAATAAGTCCTCATTGTAATGCATTCTGTTGCCTATCATTGAAAAATTCTCTTGGTCGATCCTCTCAGTCATGCGTATGTCTGAATAACATCTTGTAGTAGGAAGATGTAAATTAGTATTCTAAAACATTTACCATGTTATAGTCACCATTTATCCATTTTTATATTTTTGTATTCCAGGTTGTACCGGAAGATCTTTGACAAGGCATATGGTGCTGCAAGTGGCGAGAAAATGTTGAGTGACCTTGAAGCTGCCATTGCAGGGTACAACAGTGAGGTGGGTGAAGTCTGTGCCAAGATCGATCAGGTCAACAACAAGATTGCCATCGCTCTATGTTCTCCGCTCATGAAACGTTGCAGTCAGAAGCATGAATACAGCAGAGAACTTGTCTTTATCGATGCTACGGGGGTATGGATCGATATGACTGCAGGGTATTTATGCTCTTGACCCACAGTGCTGCTGGTGGTTTGCCCGTGGGATGCCTGATTGTGACCTCTGAGTCTAGGGACTGCATTACCCTGGCATTGAAACTGTACTTGGACATCATACCAAAAGATGCCTTTTTTGGCCGTGGTACACTTGGCCCTCGTGTTTTTTTGTCTGATGATAGCGAGGCAGAAAGGCAGAGCCTGGCAGCAGTTTTTCCAGACGCTACGTTAATTCTTTGTGTTTTCCACTTGCTGCAGGCGGTGTGGAGATTCCTGTGGGAAGGAAAGAATCAGATCAGGAAGGAGCATAGACCACAGCTGCTTTTTGCTGTCAAAAAGATGACATTCTCAATGTCTGAGAATACTCTTGAGGAAGCATATGAAGAGCTCCAGGGTAGTGACGTTGCTCGCCTCTATCCAAACTTCCTAGCACATGTTGAGAAACTGTATAGTCGCCGTCAAGCATGGGCTGTGTGCTATCGTCAAGACTTACCCACTCGGGTAACAACACCAACAACTATGCCGAGGCGGCAATGAGAATTCTCAAGGATCAAATCTTTGAGCGAGTGAGAGCGTACAATGTTGTTCAGCTGTTTGACTTTCTTGTGACACGTGTCTCCAGTTACTACGAGCGTAGACTCACTGACTTGGCTAATGGACGTGTTGATGTGACAGTTTCAAGAAAGTACCTCCCTGGTGGGTCATCGATTCCAGCCACCAGCATCACCAAGATTGGTGCCCATTGTTACGAGGTGAAGAGTGAGACGAAGGAGGAAACAAAATACAACGTTGATACAGAAATTGGAGTGTGCACATGCATTACAGGAATGAATGGCGCTCCCTGCAAGCACCAGTATGCCGTTGTGCGACATTTCAACGAGACCTCGCTGAATTTCTTGCCCCTCAGAGACCCTCACTTGCGGGAACACATGCTATTTCTGGCAACTGGTCAGAAAAAATGTGAGACCAGGATGGTTCACATCCCTACCAATTGCAGGCTTGCCACTAGAAGAGGATCCTGGGGTACAGGTACCAGACCAGATGGGTAGTCTGAGTGATGATGATAATGTAGTTGAATCCGAGTGCCCTTCTGTTGCTTCAGTTGCAGCTCCGTCCAGCTCCAATGTGGCTGTGG